CTCTTCTTCCCAATCGGCGTCGGCGAAGATGTCATCTTCCGAGTCGCCTGATTCCGCAGCGAAATCAAGTTCGTCGTCACTACCCCAAAGCAGATAGCTTTGCGTCGTTCCAAGCGAGCTGAACGTCGCATCTGCGAGATCTTCTTCGCTGACGATTTCCGTCTCGACGACATTGCCTTCGCTCGAAGTCGTCGTCGACATCATGCTGGCGAAGATCGGCTGGAACACCGTGGCAGTACGCGGCTGAGTCGCTGCAGCGACTTCTGGCGTCGTTGCGACAGGAGCGACCGTTTCCTCTTGCTTGACGGCAGCAATCACTTCGACAGCTGGCGTGCTGGAAAGCGTTNNAGCTCCAACGATTCTCCAGCCAATGGCGAGTTCATCATGTTGATGATTGCCAGCAAGTCGAGATTCGAGAATCGACCGTCACCGTTTACGTCGATGAACTTGGTGAAGTTCGACGATCCGCTGCCTAGGTTAGGCAGGTTACGAGCACCAACGGTTCGCAGTTCCTTCAAGATCGTTACATAGTCCAAACCGCTCAGGTTTCCGTCGTTATTCACGTCGGTAACCATGTTGGTGTTGTTAAACGCCAGTGTGCCCGATGTCGTTGGAGGCACGACTGGATCTACCGGCGAAACCAACGTGACCGTTGCGGTTGCAGTGACGCCTGCCGAATCGATCACGGTGTACTCGAACGTGATGTCTTCGGTCAGATCAACGACCCCAGAAGCGTCGAAGATGATACGCGTTCCATCGTCCGAAACAGTGATGTCCAGCGGTGGGGTTTCGACAGGGCTGATGTTCGTCACACTGCCGGCAACGATTCGCAGCGATCGATTGAAGAAGCTGCTGTCGTTCGCCAAGACATGGAAGACCTGATCGGCGGTGTCATCTTCGTACGAGAAGACATCGTCTCGAGCGGTCAAGCCACTGTCGGCAGGCTGAGTGATGAAGACTTTGTAGTCTTCGATTTCACCAAACGCATCGTTGTCGGTAGCACCGATGTTCAACGTCGGACCGACGCGGAATCGCATGTTCGCAGCCAAACGAGCCAGTTCCGGCAAAACCGAATCGTCAAACACGTTCGTTGGAATCGTGAACGTGTACTCGTTCTGGCCANNGGTGAAGATGCGTTCGTTGGCGTCGTTGAAGTCACCATCTTTGTTTAGATCTAGCCAAGCGTTCATCACGACATTGTTGTGAGTCACGCTGGAAGTGATCGTTACCGTGTTGGTTCCCTTCTTAATACCGTTATTGAAGAAAACACCGTCATCTTCAATTGGGCTATTGCCGAGGTAGGCACCAGGAGCGACCGGCACCGAACCGCCCAGGCCGCTATCGCCCGAGTCGGAACCCGAGATCACACCGAACTCGAGTGGTGCACTCAGCGAAGCGGAACCGTCCGTGTTGATCGTGACGTAAACCGGATTCGTGGTCGTGATCACCGACCCAGCCGTTGGAACCGGCATGATCTGGAACGTACCGGAGTAGGCCGATCGCAAGTGGAACTGCCCCAACGCGTTCGAAGTCGCCGTTGGTTCGCACAGTCCAATCAGACCGTCGCCGTTATAGTCGATGAAGAACTTCGCCCCTGCGACACCCGACTCGATTGGATCGCGGAAGCCATCCATGTCTAGGTCTTGAAACGCCAGACCAATCATTCCCTGGGTCGTACCACCAGGCACGTCGGAAGCAGCAATGACTTCGTCGTTGTAGAAGGCAATTCCCGAAGCGGCGATCGAAATTGGTTCGCCCAGGAAGCGTTGTTCCAGCGAGAAGAAATCGTTGTCGATGACATCGAAGTACTCTTCCGCATCGGCTGCGTCGACCATGGCTTCGGTCACGCCGATCAGCTGACCTTCAGCGGTGACTTCAAAGCCATCCAGTGGATCGAGGCCCGTTTGCGTTACCGCCGAAAGTGCCCCTGTCGGCAGGAATTCGTAGTAGTCGTTGTCGCCACCGGAAGCACCAACCCAGAGATCCAAACCGCGATCGTTCACGGCATTGGCCAGGTTATCTTCCACGGTTGCCCACAGAGCCATTTCCGAAGAGGAAAGGCCGTCCGTCACAGCATCTTCACCCGAAAGCATAATGATCAGATCGTGATTGATCAGTTCATTGAAGACAGCCGGATCGATGAAGTTGATATTGTAGTAATCGGTTCGCTCGTATCCGGTCGCCGATTGCGTGCCGTTCGAGAACGACCAGGCAACGGCACCATTTCCGACCACGGCAATCGAGTATTCCGCCTTCGGAATTTCGGTTGCGGTACCCTTGCCACGCAGGAAGTCGAGGATGATGTCGTCGTATCCGAGCTGACCAGGATTCGTGCCGTCGAGAATCGCGTGGTTGGTCGCAAAGAAGTTACCACCGATCGCCCCTGCGAACGAAACCGTTCCATCCGGCAGCGCGACACCACAAGCGTCGACAACCGTCGAACCGCCGTCGCCTCCACCACCGCCCGAAACAGCTGGCGTTGCCGCAATGGCAGCGTAAGCATTGATCAGACCATGTCCGGTTTCGATATCAGGCCCGCTCGTGGCCATGTCGATGGCGGTATCTTCCAGAATTCCGTAGAGCTGCTCAGGAGTCAGATTAGGATTCTTCTGCAGCATCAACGCAGCCACAGCAGCCGCGTGAGGGGCAGCAGCCGAAGTACCGAAGAAGTTCGGGAAGAAGTCGCTATCTTCCGGAATATCTTGACCGAAGAACGTGGTGTTCGTTCCGTCGGGAGCAACAAAGTCAGGCGTCTGACGATACTCAGGAACGTTCAATCGATTGCCGTCGAGATCGAAGAACGTTGGCACGCCACCAACCGACGAGAACGATTCCTTAACTGGTGGGTTGGTGCCGAAGACAGGCGTATCATAGAACGCCGCAGCACCCACAGCCGCAGTACCCGCCGCAGTCACGTGACCAACAGCTGTACCGTCGTTGGTGTACCATTCGTTGACGGTCACGCCGGGACTGACAATCCAGTCGACATATTTCAACAAGCCAGCATCGTCGCCCGAGAACTTCGAGATAACGATGTGGTAGCTAGTTTCAGTACTCAGGTTGACGTAACCGAGGAACTCAAACGGATCGCCGGTAACGACGTTCACGTCGACCGAGCTTGCGACCACTTCGTCGTCATCATCCAGCAAGTAAATGTCGTAGTCGCTTTGTGCCCCGAGGCCGCCTGCCGAAGCGTACGGCTGATCCCACTGCAGCACCACGCTGAAAACGCCGCCTGCCGGAATCGTCACACTTTGACGCACGTCGACACCGCTACCGGGATCGAAGTCGTGCAGGGTACCATCGACCACGTCATCGATGCCGCTGTCTTGGTAAGCGCCCTGGTAACTGTCACGTCCGCTGTTCCCAGCGGCAGCGAAGTAGGAAACACCCTGGGCAACAACGATATCGATCGCTTGAGCGATGATACCATCCTGGAACCATGGTTCGTTGGCGTAACCGATGTCGTCGACAATCACGTCANNAGCCAACGCGAGAATACCGTTGGCAAAGTCGACATCCGAAATCCAAGCGGTGTAGAACATGATGTCCGCACCTGGAGCGACGTCGTGGATTAGCTGAGCCATCGCGCGACCTTCGTCGCTCAGACCAGGATCGAACGCCAACGTTACGTCCGAAAGCACCGTCACGTCATCTGGCAAGTCGCCCGAGGCAACGTCATTGGCATAGCCCCCCAAAGCATCGAAGCTGTCAGAGAGAACGCCAACAGTGATTCCGGTTCCATCGAATCCGAAATCAATAC